AGCTTCTTGATCAGTTTGCCGTAGGTACGTACTTTCTGCACATGGTAAAGTTGGTGTTTAAGGTATGTTTTTACATTTTTCTTCATATCATTTCTATTCTTAACTTATACACTATTTGGAGATAGCACTGATCAGTTGTAGAGTAGAGGTTTTGCAACTGAGGTCCTGGGTTCATGTAGCTGTGAGGAAGTAATTGCAACATGCTGGGTCAAAATCTGGGCAGAGAGGAATAGGATACCCTATTGCATGATCCCACAACTTAGTACACAGGTTTCTCTGTGGACATGTCGTAGGGTCTGCTTGGATATGAGACCAACTTTGACTCTTGAAATTGGTTATATCTTTGTTTTAATCTAAAAATTCATTTAATTATTATTGAAGTCATAATCATCATTATCTTGACTGGTAGAACCTCTAGGAACTATCAATATCAATCAAAATCTTGATAGTTGAAACTGAATCAATAAGGAGATATCTCAAACAAATAAATAATGGAAAATTTAAATGATAAGAATTAATGGACAAGTACCTTGTATACCAAAAACAATAACAAAATAAGAGCAACTGAAATCCAATCTTATCATACTGTTTTATATCACTTTGTAAGGTGTGCTATACAGTGTTATAGCGCACACACAAAATCTCTAAGAAAGGAAAAAGAAGATAAACTAAATAATCCCCTTTACATATGGCTGTCAGTCAAATGAACATTGCATTGCATTCATAAAAGAGAACATAAGGCAACAAAGGAGTGATCAAAATTTAGCTGCTTTATCATTGAGTGAGTAAAGGTGTATATATGAGAAAAAATATCCTCTAAATGCAGTTGACATAAATAATGTATTTTAATTCAACACTCATCACAAGAATTATTGATTATTTCATCAAAATACACTAATTACTTGTCTTCCTTTGTGTAGTTATTCCTTACCATCAATATCTTTTCAAGATTCGTGATAATGAAGGCTGATCATACCTGCTTCAGGTGACTGCATTCCTCCAGGTAACTCTTGTTCTTGTCGTTCAGTTGCGTCTGCAGTGCGGTTATCCTCGCTCTTAAATGGTCCAGTTCCTCTTGGTGGCTGATCCTTTGGTCTGATAGCTGTTGATCCCATTTTACGGTATCCTTGTCCATTTTTGTCCTGAGGGATTCTTCTTGGCTCTGGACCTCGGCCACTCTGTTACAATATATTCAGGATATGATAAGCCTATGTCCAGTTCCAGGAATCTTGGTTTGAAATGCTGATGCTTTTTCCAGAGTATGTACATATCTGTATTTTTTTATTCTATGAAATGCAATCTCAGCACTTTCTCTAAAATGTATACATATACATCTCACTGGTTAATCCATCTATATATGTTTATGCAAACAAAATTATCACATGTTTACAGGTACATTTGTAAATCTGATTCATACACACCTACATATCACGGAAAAAATACAAAAAATATACACCTATGTCACATCAATTCTTATTCCCTTCCTCTCCTTCTTACAATACTTACTTGGCCTTCAATTCCTGTATCTGCCTCTGCATGTCCTTGTTAAGACTCCCCACTCTCTGCCCCTCAGCCTCGTGCCGGTGGAGCTCCTCTCGCAGGCTAGAGCTCTCTTCCTTCTCCCGCTTTAGCAAGGACTCAAGGCTCTCCAGGGTTGTGACACGAGCATTGAGCACAGCCTTCTCCCTTTCCTCCCTATGTAGTTTTTCAACGGTGTTCTGCAAAGACAGCTCGAGCTCTTGGACCCGGCCATCACTTTTCCCCTCCAGACTGCTTATGGTGGCTTCCAGGCTCTGTGCAATGAGAGGTATACATAAGATGTGGAATAAGGAAAGGCTACCATTCTTTCTTTTTTTTTTTTCCTCATTGATATTTTCTGCAAAATTCAAATGAAAATGTAGATAATGCATTGCAAATGTTTATGATAAGGGAGAAAGAGAAAAAACATAAATATGAGAGAGAGAGAGAGAGAGAGAGAGAGAGAGAGAGAGAGAGAGAGAGAGAGAGAGAGAGAGAGAGAGAGAGAGAGAGAGAGAGAGAGAGAGAGAGAGAGAGGAGAGAGAGAGAGAGAGAGAGAGAGAGAGAGAGAGAGGGAGAGAGACGGAGAGACGAGAGACGGAGAGACGGAGAGACGGAGACGGAGACGGAGACGGAGACGGAGACGGAGACGGAGACGGAGACGGAGACGGAGACGGAGACGGAGACGGAGACGGAGACGGAGACGGAGACAGAGACAGAGACAGAGACAGAGACAGAGACAGAGACAGAGACAGTGACAGAGCAACGTACCTTTATTCGCTCTAAAAGCTGGGCATTTTGTTGAACCAGCTGGTGAGAATTTGTAAGCTGCGACTGCCTCTGGTCTAATATTCTTCTCTCGAGCTCTGTCTCCTTGGCCGCAGCTCTTTCCTTGAAGCGAAGGAGTGCTGCTCTTTCTTCCTCTAGGGTACTCATGAGCTCTGACAAGTTTATAGAACGGATAGGTATGACAATGTTTTGGTGAATAATGAATTACTTACAGTGATAAATGAGCTTACTTAGCTTATTCAAAATTATGAATTATTTTAAGAGATCTATTAGCTCATTCAAAATCATGAATTTCTTTCAATAATGAATTAGCATATTCAAAATTATGAATTTCTTTCAATGATGAATGAGCCTATCTTAAATTATGAATTACTTGATGTGATGAATTATTTCACTATCTTCTCTTTGAAGTGAGGATCATTCACTGAATTGGCAAATCAGTGTATGTAACCGCTGTAAAATTATGAATTCAAATGTGCATCATAAATTGTGTTCATATTTTTTCTTTCTTTTTTTTTCATTTTAGACAAGAATGTGTTACTTCTCACTTTAGTCATTAAATGGAAACCCAAAACCACAGACAGACTCTCAAACCTCCATAAAAAATAGAGGAAACTTGTAACATCTCATCTGCCCCAACGCCTCCATATGCACGCTTCTTACCCTCAATTCGTTTAGCGGCCGATGCTGCTTCCTGTTCCTTGACTTTGCGAACCTGTGCTGCCTCCGCTTGGGCTGCCGTTAATTTGACGTGACACTGCTGTTCAACCTCTGTTAGTCGACTCTGGGGATAATTTGAGGAAGAGCGTAAACAGACTTTTCAAAAGTAAGAGATGTTCATCAGAGAAATATCAGCCGTGGAAGTAAATCTACAAAACCATTTATGTATCCTTCAACATTTTCAAAAGGAATGTGGCAGACAAATATCCTGTAGCATTAAAAAGCTAATACACAAGCTAAAAAAATTAAAAATAAACTAACATTCCCAATCCCAATGAAGTTTTTCAAAAGTAAGATATGTTCATCAGAGAAATACTAGCCATAGAAGTAAATCTGCAAAACCATTTAAGTATACTACAACAGCTTTTAATTAAAGCAAATAAAACTAATATTCCCATTCCCATTCAAGTTTTTCCATTTAAATTGCCACAAGCTCTCTTTTTGGCCTAACAACAGCAGTCTATCCTTCACGACCTTTCATTGACTTTAAAGTTGTTTCCGTTACCTTGATCAAATGCTGTTGATGCTTTTCCGCATTGAGCGTTGTGCTGAGCTCCCGAGATGTTGTCTTTTCCTTGTCTAAAGACCCCTGCAATCGGTCCACGGTCTCTCTCAGCTGGTTATTCTCATTCTAAAGAAAAAAAAAAAAAAGAAAATTAAATTATGGAGATAACAGTAAGATGCAAGAAGAAGAAGAAAGAGAAAGAGTCTTTATCAATTAGTCTTCAAATTTCATTTCCTGGGATTAAGAAGAAGATGACAAAAATAAAAGAAAGAGAAGAATGAGAAGAAAAAGAAGTAGAAGACAAAGAAGAATATGAAAGAGAAGAAGCAGAAGACAGTCAAAAGCAAGAAGAAGAAAATAAAGAAGATAAGAAGAAATCAAAGATGATGAAAAAAAGCAGGAGAAAAAGAAGAGGAGAGAAACTAAGAATAGTAAGACAAGGAGAAATAGGATGGAAAAGAAAATAAACAAAAATAAGTAAAGAAGAAGAGGAAGAAAAAGAAGAGAAAGATAAAGAGAGAGACTGAGGAGAAGAAAGAAGAGAGAGAAGAGACTTGAAGGGGAGAGGGGGAGAGGGGGAGGGAGAGGGAGGGAGGGAGGGGAGGGGGGAGGGAGAGGGGAGGAGAGGGGGGAGGGAGGGAGGGAGGGGGAGAGAGGAGAGGGAGAGAGAGAGGGAGAGAGGGAGAGGGGAGAGGGAGAGGGAGAGAGAGAGAGAGAGAAGAGAGAGAGAAGAGAGAGAGAGAGAGAGAGAGAGAGAGAGAGAGAGAGAGAGAGAGAGAGAGATGGAAACCAATTTACAGATTCAAAATTATTAACATTAGTCTGATAGGCCGTTGAGACAAGTGTAGCTTTTCAGTTTCAAAGTAGCCATTTCTTGTTTATTTGTTTTTGTTAATAAAAAAAAAAAAAACTTTGTGATTATTAACTCTAAATGTCTTACATATAAAATCTGTAATATAACTTTTGTTGACTTTTTAGATACTGATCATTTCTTAAAGCAAATTACAGACAATAATTTGAAATTGCATCCTGATAAGCCCATAGATAACCGAGCAAAAAGATGCTCTTGGTCGTGTAATTGCTGTCTCCCCTCAGCCTCAGATATCACACCAAAGTGATGTGATTCGGCCCAGACAGCCACGCTTATGGCCAGACCTGCACGTACATAAGACCAATTGAACGGTGCCCGAAGTCTTTCATATTATTTCACTGTCAATCTTTGGACAATTATGTAACACAACTTTAATCTCAAACTGCACATGCATAGCAGAAAGCAGAGAAAGAGAAAAAGAAAAAAACAATCAGTTTAGAAATATCCCGACTAGACAATACACACAGTCGAACCTTGAGAGCTTGTAGCGTGTTCTGAAGGGTCGTGACCTGGCTCTGGTGTTCCTCATCTGCCTCACTTCGTTCCCTCTTCCCTTTCTCCCTCATTTTGTTTGCTTCTTCTAAGGATACCTCCTCAGCTGCCGCACCCCCCAATGTGGGTGTAGGGATTTGATCAGAGAACAGAAATATGGTCAGGGATAAGTAATAGAAATAGAGATCTCTTTGGATTGATTCTTTCTCCTGACTCTGATTCGAATAGACTTTAATATAAGATCGTTGACTTCGGTCCCGAGTTGATAATCCTGTTATCAAGAGAGTGTCTTCGATGAGATGATTAAGAATGATTCGATGAGGAAAGAAAGAAAAGAGATTGATAATTCGACCTCCGGAGTATTGATTTTACGGCACACGACGATTATCTGAGAGAGACGAGACGACACTTGACTAGTATGAGTGATCTCTGATAGCTCCCATCTCGATTTCTGATTGAGACCGATGACTTTCATCTTCTGACCTGATTGTGTCTGAGATCGATCGAGAGAGACGATCTACGAGACTTGCAATTCCTGATCCGAGAGATATTGATTCCCAGGGCGCATTTGCCATTCATATAAATTAAATTAATTAGCATTGTATTTGTTGTTTGCCGCGGGCGCTTTCTTGGCTCACTTGTCTGGGTGCCTCTAAATTAGTGTGATCTATCGTGTCATGTTGATGGCTTGCTTCAATCTCTGATCCTCAACGTATCCCTGTCTCGTCTGATCCGTAATAAATTGACCTATCTGATGAAGTTAACAGGTCATAGCGTTCTGTATAAGATAAAGTGCCCTCTCTCCTATCGTTCTCCTCTGATCCTCCTTCGTGCTATTAAGATGTTTGATTCGAATTGCATTTTCTATGGTAGCTGTTCATGGAAGTTTCTCTGTTATGGACTCGAATATACACTATATACATTGTTGTATTATCCCACATATATTATCCCGATGTGTGACTCTTGATCAACACTTGTTAATAGTGACCCGTCTGATATTTCATAAACACTTAGCATGGCACTTGTCTTATTAAACGGTAATCCCAATGTACCAAAAACAAAGGGTAGGCCAATTATACAATTACCTATTATTCACTTTATCTATATCCCAAAGAGAAAGGGATTTTTCAAACGCTATAATCCTATTTCATATCCCGGAGGAAGTTATGCAACATCTAGGTCCCAAGCAGACTGTATAACCCGCTTAATGTTCTATTAATGTTCTTTTTATTGCGGTGCGTGGGGTGCGAGTGCAATTTTTCATATGTTTTCTTTTTTTTTTTTCTTCTTCATTTGCGCAAAGCCTTTACGTTTAGGGTGATTCTGTGAGTTTTTTTTGTCAGTTAGACGTTTTCGCCTTTTGTTCCTGAATCATCTTTAGTTATTAATAATGAATTCGTGCTGTTTTGTTGTGTGCTGTGTGTGGTGTGTGTGTTTTTGTGTGTGTGTGTATTTGGTTTTTGTTGTGGTGTGTAGCCTCAGCTTTGTGTTGTGATGTGTGTGTGTGTTTTTGTGTGTGTGTGTTGCGTAGAGAGATGACGGTGACGAGTCCTGACAATGAATTTGTCATAAAAATCGGATCGTCTTAACATATGTCCTTAACTTGCCGTTTATTGCTTCGATATTACTCGTAAGACAGTGAAGTGTTTAATGATAATCGTATACCTTCATTTACCGAAATAAAAATCTTTTTCCTTTTAGACAGATCGCGACGACCAGAGGCAGACCCGTACAGACTCCACAGGGTGACAGGAATCGGTCTTATTGGTTCTTGCCAACGGAAAAACCGTTTGTGTCTTCTCACGGGTACCAATGATATCCGAGATCTATTCAGTCACACATCAATTCGAATCTTTTTCCTGCGTCCTTCCCAATAGGTCCTGTACGATCATTGATTTTTTTTTCCTCTCCCCTCTTTCCTCTGCTTCTCTCATTCTCGGAATTATTTCCTCTGATTGACCTGTCAAATTTTTGCGTACGCCCGCGGTATTGTACCCGTTTGATTCGGTAAACCCTCTGGCGTTCCCTCTCTTTAAAAAATCTCAGTCACTTCTCGTCTACTGTCCGTCGATACGGCTTTGTAATTCGTTCTTTTCTAGTTTTTGTTGACTCGTTGGTTATAAACATGTCCAAGGTATCTTAAATATCCTGTGGATCTTAGCTTCCATCACCTAGAATCTATCGTTTCACCCAACCTTGGATATTGTTAATATCTTGAAATATTTTGATTATCCAAAGTATTTCTTGTCGGGACATTAGATCATATTTCTTTCTTAATGCGAAAATTTACCTTTTCGGTAATACCGGTAACTTCCACGTCATCAATTTCCCATGCGACATTTTCAAAAAAACTGCGAACACATAAAAGGGACATTAATATTTCCAATACATGTAGGCCACATACACATTCCACCATCACTCCCACACCCACACACAAACTTAATCGCATGCTCTATAAACACGCTGATAAACGCTTTCTTGCCCATCGAGGATAATCTCGCCTTAAGATGCTAGATACAATTGTGGATTAAGGTCCTCCTATAACTTTCTCGCCTCGCATGCCATCTTTACAAGCACGTGTCAAATGGAGTCTTCGCGCCGATACCGCCTTATCGTTATTCATTATGAGAACATGAAAAATCGTTTGAGCATGATAATGCGAAGTGATTAATGCAAGTACATTTACCTGACGTCATAGGATTTTAAGTTGTTGATTATAAATACACATTCATGGCGTTTTTCCTTCTTACGTAATCCTAATCCCGTATCCATTTACGTTTTCCTATCCTCTCCTCGCTCCTTGTTCTCCCTCTCGTTCCCCTTCCTTCTTTTCCTTCCTTTTCTTGATTTTTGTTATTGTCTAAGTTTCTACTTCTGTCGTGTCCTCTTCTGTCTTCTTTCTACTTCCATCCTTCTTCTTTCGTGCTTTCTTTTGCTTTATAGTCAATTTTCTTTTTCCTTTTCTTACACCTTTCTGTCTTTTTAAAGGTATTTGTTGGCCTCAGACGATTTAAATGGAACTGCGAGCAAATCCAGCGGATAACGTTTGATATTGCAATCTGATTTTCACCCTGTTCTTAAGTAATGAATCACGATTATTCAACTCTCTGTCCACTTAGTGCACAGTTTCGGATTTTTTTCCACCTTAAGTTATCACTTTAAACATTTTTCTAATACCCTCTTTGAGAAGAAATAAAACATCAAACGTTCTCGCTCGTGTAATACAGATACGTTTTTCTCTACTGAAACGCCGAAGCAACCCAATTACTTTTCTTTGATAATGTCTTCTGCCTATTTATGATGTATTGACTAATTTCATAAAGTGAAAACATATTTAACAAAAACGGACATTGCGCTCTGTGTCTTGCAGATAAACCTTCATTTCCTATCCGAATGTACTTTCCCAACTTAACGAATCCAACACAACCACAATACTCAGGACACTATAATGATGAGTAATTATGATGATGTATGAGGAGGAGTAAGAGTAGAAGGATAATGCAGCTAATACTTAATAACAGCAAAAAAAGATTCAAAATCAAAGAACATAAATAAATTGACTTATCACAAAGCAAGATTTGAAACAAAAATCAGCATTTTGCGGCCCGACTCCATGCTGTATAATAAGTTTCAAACTCGAGAGGTCCACTTTCATTTAAAACCCCCAAGGCAACCACTACAGCTCACAGCGGCTTCTTTTCAACTGACCGCGTCGCGAGACCATACCAGTTCTAATACCTTGCGGCCCAAGTATATCCTACCAATGCAACGATCTCTTCCATAAAGGGATTATTCTAGGTCGATAATTTATGCCTAGTTTCTAGGATTGTCCTCCGTGTTGGTCGTCGCTTGTGTTCGCTTGCATTCATACACTTTTCCAAAAACCGTGACGTGTTCAAAGATCATCTTTTATCAGATGATCCAAAAATAGGAAGGCATCTTCTCGGTAGCCAGCCTGTTCAGGCATAGGGGAGATTTTACAGTCCGTTCCCATGTGGTTTGATTAATCTCTGTCCTGCCTGCGGCTATAGCAGATTGTACAGTGCTTTATCCCGTCATTCTACAACGAGATTTAATTGACAATAGCGAAAGAAAGGTTATTTTTTTCCTATTGCGCACGTGGAGGGCCAGCGTCTGATTCTCGTACTTTGCGTTGCGTACTCGAACCAATTTTATTGTAGTCCAAATTTATTGTGTTGTTCAGCACCGTTCTTTTCTTCTGAGCTTTCCGGTTGTTAAAAGGCGAGTAGGTTTTTTATGGTTCGTGAATGCTTTTCTTTGAGTGGAAAATGACTTGATACCTTTAACCAACTAATATTAGTTAATCATATACAATTTTCATTACTCTGAGCCCTACCATTACCATTTTACTATCTATCTGTCCACTTCGTTATTGTTAACTTACTGTTTACCATTATCTTATATTATTCATCATCTACAACTATTGAGTATCATATAATCTTATTATCCCTATTATCTGATCCTGTAGTTCATTATCTGTATCATTATTTTCTCATCATCATTTTTTCCAATTTCATACCATTATCTTTTCCACTCCCATGCTTCACCCGCCTATCTTTTTTGTTTATATTGCGATTATTTATCATTCCTATTTTTTACATTTAGGTCTTGCGTTTGTTTTACCATAAGGAGAGGTCTGGCACCGAGCGTTCTCTTACTGTCAATGGCATGCCGAATGTTCTTGATTTCGAGATCCTCTCCTTCTTCGGCGACATCAGACGCCTATAACATGAGCACACTTTGACTGACTCTCTCAACCCCCCATCACATCAATTCACTCATATCTGACATATCTTCCCATACACTAGCACAGATTACCCCGCCTCATCGTAATTTATCTTCGTTACCACAACCCCACCCAACCTACTTCTCCGTTCCGTGTCTCTTATACAACCCTTATCTCACCCTTGCGTCGCCGCCACAATCCACTCCCCAATTGACCTCCCAGCTCTAACTACCACCCTACATCTTTTACTATCCCATCTGTCATTTGTCGGCACTTCCCTCCCCGCATTCTCGTTCGCTTCTCTAAAATCCTTACTTCGTGTTCTACCGCGAAATTACTTTTAAACTTTATCATTTTA